ATTGATTAACCGCCCAAACAATAGTTAACAACCAATCATGTAAAGCAATATAGTATAACGTAAACATAAATCAATGCCTAATAAATAAAATAAACTCGATAAATCCTCACATTAAATGTGAAAAACTTACCTTGCACCGAGGAAACAACCGCTGGAGGAAATAAATCTGTTGGAGGAAATAGCCGTTGGAGGGAAGAGGGATCTGATGCCTTGAGCAAAAGAGGGATATGATGCGTTGAAGAGAGAGAGAGGAGATTGGGGAAGTGACTCGCCGCCTGTATGATGCCATGTAGCCGTTGCTTGTCCAGGAATTTGGGGAAGTGACCGCTTGAGAGAGTAGATTGCCTGTGTGTTACAAGGAGCCGTTAGGAACCACTGTGTGTTGCAAGAAGCTGTTGGGTTAGGTGGGATGGGTTGGATTAATTTGGAGGGAAAATATAGTGGTAATTTTTTTTGGGGTTAAACTGGTACTTAATGGTAATTTTTTTTTTTACCCTGGACTTCAGCCCAGCTAAGCCCACTAAGTAGATCCGCCCTTCGAAATAGCATACGGATGAAGACCGATCAAGAAGCTTCTCAAAGTCGTTTCTTTGTTTAATTTGGTTAATAAGTAGAGATTTGGGTTCAACAGAGAAGGCATATCGCAAAACGCTTGGAAATAAACCCTACTATCTACTACATATTTGATGTCAAGAACAGTTAATTTGGCGGTGGCTATCTTGATCCGGAGTTTTCCCCAAATCTCTCTCTCTCTCTCTCACACACACACACACAGAGTGTTGATTGCTATTGTAGTTTTTAACTTCCTTGTTGGTCTTGTGTAAAGCAGGTTCTCCAGTTTGTGTTGGAAGTGAGTGGCACCGCTTTCCATCATCCTTTTTCATTCCTGATTCTGCGGGTCAAGTTCGATGGATAGACGATGGGTTCAGAGGTCTGCTACCATTTCCATTTAATTCTACGTTGGGCGGGACTTCAGCAGCACCACCACACTTCAACAATATGAACAGGCATCAGAAGAGCAATATGCAATGGCATGCTTTCATATGCTCTAGTTTGTTTAGTTAACCCTTTCATTATGGTGTCATTATTTTATCATTAGAAGTTTGTTCAAAGTATATGACTCATCACAGTCCTTTTTGTAATCTATTTTGCAGCTCGTGGATCTTGAAAGCTGCAGTTTCCTCGTTGAATTGCAACCTCAGCGACCTTACCCTACTCGAGGAAGTGACTTGTCAACATGGGAGGTTAATCGCCCCCCTTCCCCTTTCCTTCCTCCCCCTACCACTATTCTGTCTTACATTCAAGGTTTTATTATCTCAGGCTGTTGCAGCATTACCATATCTGGACAGGGAACTTTCGCCTCCCTTGTATCGGTAATTCTTCGTCCCATATCTTTGGCAGCACAACATTGTTTTTGGCATGTACAGACTTCTTAAAAGAATACCCAAGTGATAGTCGATGTACGAGCCCACGAGCACAATCTTCGATTAGTTCTAACGTTCTCGAAACCTGAGATGTTTAAGCATGAATAGATATGTCTAACATCGCTAACTTTACATTGACTGGATTTGCTGATTGGATAAAGGATTATTTTGTCTGGAAACATATCAGTAGGAGGTTTTGTAACCTGGAAACTAGGAGACCCCTTTTCTCTATGGTTCATAAACATAAACATCTGGTCAAACATTGCGGGAACTGGAGCAATCTATCAAATCCTATCAGTTTGGTGAGGTACTTAAAAGGGAACTTTTTTTCTTTATTTTTTTATTATGTGGAAAAGGGAACAGGGAAGTATACCGAGGAGGACCTCAGCTTCACCACCATAAGAACTTTCTTCAAATATTTGAAACCGAATCTCAATTTTTTATGGGCTTTGTTATGCACGAGATCACGAACAAGCAGAAGAATATAAGACACACATGAGATTGCGTGGTTCGGTTCGAATCCTACTACAATGGGCGCGGTACAATGCCAAAAATTCAGAATAAAACAATGGATATTAAAGAGAGTGAAAGAAAACTAAGATAATTTTTATCCCATCTATTACAAATGTACGGAAATTAAAACAGGAATCGCAACATCCTCATCTGTTGTAGTCAGCCTCACAGTGTACCTGGCGAGTCTGCCTGCTCCATGGCTTTTATGAGGTTGCTTAGCATGACAATTCTAGACACAATGAACGGTCTTCACACTAGTTGATTACCTAAAATTAGCGGGTTTAAAATATATTTAACATTTTTGGATATAAACAATTACTCATAAACAGTTATTCATTTGACAATGATCGACAAGAACGAACTAGACACGACTTATAATGGATCCAACACAATAGCATTACTCTATAATTATAAGGGTAAATTATACTTTACCTCACTTAAACTATTATTTTTGTTTTATTTTGCACCCTCAACTATAAAATTTCTCACATTACACTCTAAAGTATCAATTTTATTTTATCACTCAAATTGATAACAAATGTCAATTCTTTTACGGTAAATGTGCTTGTGGGTGGTTTATGCTGCCAATAAGCAACTGTCTATTGTACATGTGCTTGTCAAAAATTTAAAAAAAAAATACCTATTTATGACTTGGTCCTTTCCAAGTTATAAATTTTCTTCCTCTTGTTGATCATCTTTTTTTTCTTAGTAACTATTTAGTTGCAAAAGAGATAAAATAAAGTGGTATTGAACACTTGGCGGGAAACTATTTGGGGTTTCTCTCTCTTATTTCTTTCAAGTTGTCGTATCTATTGGAATCATGATATTAAACAAAATTGATACTTTATGATGTAATGTCAGAAATTTTATAGTTAAAGGTACAAAGTAAAACAATGATAATAATTTAGGGAGATAAAGTGTAATTTACTCAAATTATAAATAAGTTAGATATTAGTTGAATAAATTTTAAAATGACATGACTTGACAAAACCGATCCGACACAATTTATTCGTAAGTTCAAGGAATTTATTACCGATGTATAGTCATTTTTGAACAAATTTAACGATCTACAACATTTTCAAACTTATTTATCAAACTACAACGCTTTTTAAAAGTGCTATTAATAATTTCGCTTTTATAATAAAAATGGGATCAATAATTCTATTTTTAAAAATAAAAGCGGGTTCAAGAATTCCGTTGCAACATTGTTGCTTTGAAAATTACATTGAGACCCTTTATAGGTTCTGTCACCTCACAAGTATTGATTGACGTTGTAATTATCCATTTTACCCTCACACCAAAATTCCTCCTCTCTCTTTCACTCACTCAGACACACACACAGAGTCACGCACATAATGGGAGAAGAATCCAACCGCTATGAATATGATAGATTTCGGGTAACTTATGGAGCCCAAAATCAATTGAAGGGTTCTGTGTTGATTTTGCAAGATTAATTTTATTTGGTTCGATAAATTATTTTTTATGATTTGTGATTGGGTTTGTGAAGGAGATGCTTGAGTTGATTTTGTGACATTAGATTTTTCGGTCAAACAAATGGTTTTTGGTGATTTGTGAATGGGTTTTGTAACAAATCATGGCTTGTTTCTGAATCCCATAATAAACACAGTTATCTCTCTGTAGAAGCTTAGCTTAGCCATGGAAGAAAAAGATTTTTTTTGGGTAAATCATGGAAGAAGAAGATGTGAAAAAGAGACCCAACAAGTCTTGAAAGTATCATAAGCTTTAAAACAAGCTTCACACAACTTCTCAACCGCTTGAAGTGATTGTACGGCTACGGCTGCGGCTGTGGCTGTGGCTGTGGCTATGCCATGGAGTTCCAATTGGATATTAGTCCTGCCTAAAAAGCGGATTTACTAATAATAATTTTTAACGATATTAAAAATATATTTTATTAAAAGTAGAATTGTTGATTCTAATTTTATTAGAAAAACGTGATTATTGACTTCATTTTTAAAAAGTACTATAATTTGATAAATAAGTTTAAAGATTTAAAAATACCTGTACATTAATTATAAATTCTAAGTTCAAGGAGGAAAAGAGTTTCGCAGAAAATGAGTAGGTGGATTCTGTGTACTTTCTCCTTAGAAACTTCAGACCTTGTGGAGAACGGCTTTGTCAAAAATTTCAAAACATGAAAAGTCGAAGAAATTACACCTTTCTACCTACCAAAGAAAAGTTTACCGGCGAAATAAATAAATTCTAAAAATTGATATTGAGCCTGTTTTTAAGGGTTTTGAAATAAAATAAGTTAGATCCGTTTGAATCTTGACTTTTTTATCAATTTATGCAGTAATTTTTTGGACCCAAAAAATTTATTTAAGTTGATTCAAAAAATTTATTTTATGAATTTTTCTTATAAATTTTTAATTTTATTATATTTATAAAATATTATTAGGGACATAAAAAAAATTAAATTTTATATTTTATGAACTATTATGCATAATTTATACATACATATAATTATTTTTTTATTTTAACACAAAAAAAAAACCAAAAAAATCTCTTCAAACGAACTTTTTCAATTTTTCAAAAAATAATTAAACAACATTGTAGAACTTTTTAAACTCTTTAACTTTTTTGCCTAAAAAAGACAACTCCAAATAAACTCGTTATCTTTACTCAAAGCCATACCAACTGCATCATAGGCAGAAAAGATAATCCCTAAATTTGATAGATAGACAATCTTATCTCAATTTTAAAGGGATTAATTGTCGTATTCGAACTCATACTTTTTCACTTTCAGCTTTTTTGTAACATCTTAGCTTCCAATTGGTCAATTGAGGCCTGGTTGGAAACACGTTTTTTTTTTGAGTGTTGGATACGGTCAAGTCAATTGACTTCTCAACTGGGGAACACAAATTCTTGGAAAAACCTTTGCAGGCTTGGACTATAAATTACACTGTCAATACACTGAAAAAACCAAGAAAAACTAGCAATCCCAGCAGTATACAGATACATAAACAGAACCCTTCTTCAACCACTCAGTTCTGCTTGTTCATATATTTCAACATTCAGCTCCATTTTTCTTGAGACCTGAAAAAAATGGCAACTGGAAAACTGCCTAGTACAAAGACCATATTATCTGCGGCTGCCTCTGTTGCTGCATCAGCAATGCTTATCCGAAGCATTGCCAATGAATTCCTCCCTGCTGAATTCCAACAATACTACATTTCCACCATTCGTAGTTTTCGCAATCGTCTTTCTTCTCAATTCACCATTGTTATAGATGAATACCGAGGGCACATAAAAAACGAACTGTTTGAGGCCGCAGATATGTACTTGGGCACTATAACCACCCCGTCCACTCAAAGGGTTAAACTGGGGAAGACCGAGAATGAGAAGAATCTAGCAATCACTGTGGATACAAATGTGGAGGTTGTGGATGTTTTTGAAGATGTCAATATCCAATGGAGGTTGGTATGTATAGAGTCGAAGGGTGGTTATGAAACAGCAGGAGCAATCTATGGAAGGCATATGAGGGGCGGCCTAAATACAACTCTCCGAACAGAAATCAGATTCTATGAGTTAAGTTTTGGCAAGAAACACAAAGAAAATGTAATAAACTCATACCTGCCATACATTTTGGAGAAAGGTAAGATCATTCAAGAAGAAGGCAAGGTGATAAAGCTTCATACAGTGAGATACGAATACTGGGATGCCCAAACAATCAAAATTGACCACCCCATGACTTTCAAGACCCTGGCAATGGATTCAGAGATAAAGAAGGCATTAATGGAGGATTTGAATAATTATATCAATGGGAAAGAGTTTTACAGAAGAATTGGAAAGGCTTGGAAACGTGGATACTTGTTGTATGGTCCTCCTGGAACGGGCAAGTCAAGCTTGATTGCAGCTATTGCTAATTACCTTAACTACAGCATCTATGACTTGGATCTAACAGATGTCATGCGTAACTCAGATCTAAGGAGCTTGTTGCTTGGCATGTCTAGCAGATCCATACTTGTCATTGAGGATATCGACTGCTCTATCAAGCTGCAAAATCGAGAATCTGAAGATGAATATGAAGCACACAACCCCAAAAATAAGGTATGCAAGCCGGACTCCTAACTATGTTATTTCCCCCCCCCCGACAAAAAAACCTAAAAAAACGTTGAAGGCTTTAAGGTAGGGGTAAAGGCATGATACAATTCAAGAAGCTCCACGTAAGGTCCCATCAAAATGAATGGGATTATATGCAGTCTTTTTCCAATGAAAAGGCAGAATCTTTGAAATGAAAAACAGCCAGCATCTTAACATTTCTAATGCAGAATCTTACAATGCATATCCAATTTCAAAATGGTTGCTTTGTGTTTAGTTTTATTATGGCCCATACCTTCGATGTCTCATTGCTTGTTATCTTCATTTCACCAGGTGACACTTTCTGGGCTCCTTAATTTCATTGATGGCCTCTGGTCATGCTGTGGATCCGAACGCATCATTATTTTCACAACGAATCACAAAGATCGACTAGATCCTGCACTATTGAGACCCGGTCGTATGGATATGCACATCCATATGTCCTACTGCACCTTCTCAGCTTTCAAGCAACTAGCCTTAAATTATCTGGGGCTTTATAATCACAATCTCTTTAAGCAGATTGAAGAGCTCTTGGGCAAGGTTGAGGTCACCCCAGCAGAAGTTGCAGGGGAGCTGATGAAGACCAGTAATGCTGAAGTTTCCCTGCAAGGCCTAGTTAAATTCCTTCACAACAAAATGAAAGAAAAAGAAGAGATAAAAACTGAGAAGAATTCAAAAGCACATAATGAAGAAGAGAATGAAAACGAGAAGACTCTGCATGCCAAGAACATGACTTGACTTATTCTAAAGAGCTCGAAGACAGCGTTTATAAACCGAGGATATAAGGTGAAGGTGAGGAGGAGAATTTGGGGGTAAACTTCTGTTTGAGTTGTTCTAAATGTGATTTAAAAAAGAAATGAGGAATAAATGACATGGCCATGAATGAAGATTCATACAACTTTGCGTCAACGTCAAACTATCTGAGTAGATGTATCATCCAAGACCACATGCTGGTTTTCCTATCATTTATGAAAAATAGGACTCGGTCGTTTTACATCAGCTCCAAGTAGCTGAAGCTTCATTTCCAGATTCTCTTAACCATGATCAATACGAAGGATGTCACTGATTTCGGTAATTCATTTGCAGCCAATCCCCCAAAATCAGCGTTATTCCACATCCTAAATCAGTTGCAGAAACTCGGAAACCACACAAGGGACCAGAAACAGATAAAAGTAACGATCAAATACAATATTCAAATGCATCCAAGTACACGAAACATATATCAAGATGTCATGTATAAAAAAGAAACAAACCTCCCATTCTCTTTTCCAAAAACTAGTACATTGCCCCAACAGATCTGAACTCTAGATTCAATCCTTTGCCATTTGCAGCTCATGGGTGCACTTTCCCATCCCTTAAATGTTTGCCAAAAAGGTAAATTCAGTCTTCTCTGACATCATTTGGAAATTATTAATGCCTAAGCATTTGACTTGACAAAAATTGCTCATAAAACGTCATAGTAGTAGGACTTTTGTTGCTCGTTAGAAGCAGCAAAACCTTCACAACCTATGATAATCCATGGAATAATATCAAAGATTGTGAAACAAAAGTACAACACAACAAATGGAGATACTATATTTACTTTGTTATTACAATCAGGGATGTCTGAGTTACCTATCGTACACCTAATTAATTTTTTTCCCGATCCAATAAAATGTTGGAAGTGGTCAAAGCAAAACGGTGCAAATTGATGGAATAAATGTGAGGCTATTTGGCTTCTAAGTTGATGGAATAAATAAGGACCCTTTGGTTCTAAAACATAGAATAATTTTGGGATGCATTTTGTTTTCCATAGCCTATAAATAAGGCTTGTTTCTTTGGAGTTCATATATGAATAGAGTTGTAGTGTTATCAATTTTCTTGAGCAGAGTGTGAGAGAGAAATAGGGGCTTTGTTTGAAAACTTTGTCACCTCCACTATGGTATCAGAGCTCCGCTGTCCCACCAACTTCCTAATCTTCCTTTTCTTCTCAGAAATGGCTAACACGCTATTCCAACAGCAAATGCCGAAGTTATCAAAAGATAACTATGGGAGTTGGTCAATCCAAATAAAAGCTCTGTTTGGATCTCAAGATTTATGGAAGCTTGTTACAGATGGGTATACGGAACCCACTTCGCAAGAAGAAACTGCATACACTGTCGATGAGAAGAAGACTCTTAAGGAGCAAAGAAAGAAAGATAAAAAAACTTTGTTCCTACTTTATCAAGGGTTGGACGAGTCTACCTTCGAGAAGGTTGTCGAAGCATCAAACAACAAACAACCATGGGAGATCCTTGCTACCATCTTCCAAGGAGTCGATCGGGTGAAATGGATTCGCCTCCAAAATTTACGAGACGAGTTTGAGGCCTTTCACATGAAAGAAGGCGAAGTGATGTCAGATTATTTCTCACGGCTGTTAGTGATAATGAATGGCTTGAAGAGAAATGGTGAGAAGATCGATGACATCCGTGTTATTGACAAGGAACTTCGATCACTCTCACCTAAATTCGAGCATGTGGTCGCAGCTATCGAAGAGTCTAAGGACTTGGAGACGCTGACGATCGAGGAGTTGATGGGTTCTCTTCAAGTAAATGAGCAACGAATGCAAAACAATGCTAGCTCCACTATTGTGGAACAAGTGCTAGAGTCAAAACTGACTCTAAATGATCAATGCAACCCTGGTTGTGGTAGAGGCAGGGGCGAAGGACACACCAACAAAATTGGCAAAGTCAAGGAGAGCGTCAAAGTTCACGAGGATGAGGACGAGGACGAGAACGAGGAAAATCCACACCTGGAAGAGGAAACACCAAAAACATTCAGTGCTACAACTGCGAAAAGTTTGGGCACTATGCCTCGGATTGTTGGCATAAAGCCGACGAACAAGCCAATATTGTAGAAACAACAAATGATGATGGTAATGACACTCATGATGAGTCAAGAGCACAACATGAAGCCTGGTATCTTGATTCAGGTGCGAGCAATCATATGTGTGGGAAGAAAAAATTGTTCATAGAGCTCATAGAATGAGTGCATGGAAATGTGAGCTTGGGAGATTCTTCTAAACTCCCTGTTGAAGGCAAAGGGAAGACCAAGATCTATCAAAAGGATGGTAAGAAAGAATATATCTCTGATGTTTATTATGTGCCTAACATGAAAAGTAAAATCCTTAGCATTGGGCAACTGCTTGAAAATGGGTGCATAATACATATGGAGGGCAACTCTCTTACTTTGAGAGATGCTTGTAGAAGGCATGTGGCTCATGTTCAAATGACCAGCAATCGTATGTTCCCCTTACACCTTAACACACAGATTGAGAAGTGCCTCCAAGGACTCGTGCAAAATGATACTTGGAAGTGACATTTTTGTTTTGGCCATCTACACTTCAGTGGGTTAAAGCTACTATCTACAACCCGCATGGTAAATGGTTTACCAATAATCAAGCCACCAAACCACATTTGTGAAGGATGCATACTTAGCAAGCAATCACGACTTCCTTTTCTTAGTGGCAAATCCTGGAGAGCAAAGGCATCGTTGCAACTTATTCACACAGATATTTGTGGTCCATTGGAGCCCATTTCACTTGGAGGTAGTAGATATTTTATTACTTTCATCAATAATTTCAATAGAAAGATTTGGATTTACTTTCTTAAAGAAAAATCTGTCGCTTTAACTACATTCAAGAACTTTAAAGCTCTTGTCGAAACGGAGAGTGGCCACAAGATTGTAACTCTCCATTCTGACCGAGGTGGTGAGTACACCTCAAATGCATTTCAAGAGTATTGCAGGGAACAAGGGATCAAGCATCAGCTCACAACTGCTTTTACACCACAATAGAATGGGATTGCAGAAAGAAAGAATCGCATTATTTTGAATATGACAAGAACCATGTTGAAGGAGAAAGGACTGCCAAAACATTTTTGGGTAGAAGCTGTAGTGTGTTCTACATACCTGCTCAACAGATGCCCAACGAAAAGTGTCAAGAATATGACACCTCAAGAAGCATGGAGCAGTTGTAAGCCTAATATGACACACCTATGAATTTTTGGGTGTCTCGCATATGCCCAAATTCCCGAGGCCAAGAGGAAGAAGCTTGATGATCATGGTGAAAGATGTATCTTTATAGGATACAGCGAGGAGTCGAAGACATATAAGCTCTATAACCCTCTAACAAAGAAAGTAGTGGTTAGTAGAGATGTTGTGTTTAACGAAGAAGAAATGTGGAGCTAGAGCGATGTAGAGACACCCAATGTACAGCCTATTTTGGAGGAACCAGAAGAACTCTTACTAGAAGTTACACCACCAGGTGTACCACCATCTTCTCAATCTGCAACACCTTCTACAGTCCAGAGAGGATCCCTGCCTTCTGTGGGAGGTAGCAGCAATAAATCCTCCACACCCATGAGAATGAGAAGACTTAGGGAGATCTACTCACAAACAGAAGATGGAGAAACCAATCTCTTCTGCCTATATGCGAATCATGAGCCTCTCACCTTCCAATAGGCCATAAAAGAAGATTGTTGGAGATCGGCGATGGAAGAGGAGATCCATGTCATAGAGAAGAATGATACCTGGGAGTTAACAACACTCCTACAAAACCAAAAGGTGATTGGTATCAAGTGGGTGTACAAGATCAGGCGCACGACAAATCGTGAAGTTGATCGTTACAAGGCAAGATTAGTAACTAAAGGCTACAAACAAAAATATGGTATCGACTATGATGAGGTCTTTGCACCAGTTACGCGACTTGACACAGTGAGATTGTTGATCTCACTTGCTGCACATCACAGTTGGAAGATATACCAACTTGATGTCAAGTCAGCTTTCCTCAATGGCATTTTAGAGGAAGAAGTGTACGTACAACAACCAGAAGGTTTCTTGGTAGAAGGAGAAGAGAGCAAAGTGTGTCGTCTAAAGAAAGCTTTGTACAACTTAAAGTAGGCACCCAGGGCATGGAATGCACGCATTGATAGTTTTCTTCATCAAAGTGGCTTCATCAGATGTCCATATGAGCATGCTGTCTACATGAAGAAGAATTATCAGGGAGGATCTCTAATCATTTGCTTTTATGTTGATGATTTACTATGCACAGGAAGTAGTGCTGAAATGGTCACTGAGTTTAAACAATCCATGTTTAAGGAGTTCGAGATGACAGATAATGGATTGATGTCCTACTTCCTGGGTATTGAAATAAAGCAGCAAGAAGATGGGATTTTTATATCCCAAAAGAAATATATAAAAGAGATCTTAGAAAAATTCAAAATGGAAGGGTGTAATCCTGTAAACACCCCAATATCAACAGGCATGAAGTTGTCAAAAGAAGGAGATGGAGAAGTCGTCGAACCAACTCTTTACAAGAGTCTAGTTGGAAGCTTGAGATACTTGACAATCACAAGGGTAGATATTGTCTATGGAGTTGGGCTTGTGAGTCGATACATGGAGACCCCTAAGAAGTCTCATTGGCTAGCTGCAAAAAGGATCTTGAGGTATATTAAAGGCACACTCAATCTGGGTTTTTTCTATACCTATGGTGAATATGTACAGTTAGTTGGATATTCGGATAGTGATTGGGGAGGTGACCAAGATGAAAGGAAAAGCACTACTGGTTATGTCTTCTATCTTGGGTCTACAGCTTTTTCTTGGATATCTAAGAAACAAGGAATTGTTGCTTTATCTTCATGTGAGGCAGAGTATATAGCAATTTCATTCACTGTTTGTGAAGTGATATGACTGAGAAATGTTTTGAAGGAATTGAATTATCC